AGTAAAGTTTTGCTGATAATTCAAAAATATTTGCAACAGTACATTGATGAGGAATTACCAGAAATTCAAGATCAATTCAGAAGAGGACATGGAACTAGGGATATTACTGCTGACATCAGATGAATCTTGGCTGAAGGAGAGAATACAGAAAGATGCTTACTTGTGCTTTATTGACTATGCAAAGGATTTTGATTGTGTGGAACATGACAAACTACGGATAGAAATGTGACAATAGGATATTCCAGAACACTTATTTGTGTTCATGAGGAACCTGTGCACAGATCAGTAAGTAATTGTTCAAAAAGAAATAGGGGATGGTAAATGGCTTAAAGTCAGGAAAGGTGTAAGCCTGGGCTGTATTCTTACACCATACTTTTTCAATCTGTATGTTGAGCATATACTGAGAAATTGAATTATATGAAGAACATGCCATCAAGATTGGAGGAAGACTCATTAACAGTCTGTGATACGCAGAAGATGCAGTCATGCTTATTGGAAGCCAAGAGAACTTGAAATACTAAACTGATGAGGAACAAAGTTTACAGCTTTCTATGGATTGCACCCCAGTGTAAAGAAAACAAAAATCTTCACAACTAGACCAATAACATGAAAAATGGAGAAAAGATTGACATGAAATGCAATTTGAAAAAAAAAAGAAATGCAATTTGACAAATAAAATTGTCGAAGACCTCAATTTATTTGGATTCACAATCAATAAATCAAACAACGTATTGCATGAGGCAAATCTGCTACAAACGATCTCTTGTGAAAGTTGGGTAAAGAGTAAGGAAGACTCGAGAATTGATGTATTTGAATTACGGTATTGGAGAAATTTTAAAGTATTACAGATTTCCAGAACAAACAAATGTCTTGAAAAATGTGCAGCCAGAATGTGAACCAAGAATGGTGAGACTTTTCTGGTTAAAAGAGATGGTGATAAGATTCTTATGATTCAATAGTGAGTAACTGTTATCATGACTAACTGTGAATGTCACAATTGTAAAGGTAGAAGTTTTGTAACAAAAACAGGGGAGTGGTTAATCTTATAGTCCAGAAACAAAGGCCCCTAGGATCAAGGGAGAAGAGCACAAGTGGAATGCGAGACCTTATCCAGAGACGCTGCGACACCAGAGATAGAGGCAGATATGGGTACATAGAGAGAGGGAGCAGCTGAGGACTCTAGATTCATGGGAATCTAGACTGAGAGCTGGCGGCCAGAAGGCAGACTTGTAGAATGCACCCTTTGGTTGTGTAAGTTATTATATATGCCTGAGTGCTTTAAAAAAAAAAAAAAGAGCTAAAGTGAAGAGCTAAACACTGTTAACTGATGTTACATGGAGGGGATTATAATCATTGTAAAGAAACAAGGTGTATGATTTCTTGAATGTAAAACTGATGATCTGCCCTGTAAACTTTTACGCAATTCACAATAAAAATCTTAAATAAAAATAAAAATAAATAAAAAATGGTAAGACTTTTGTCTCTCATAGTTTAAACATGTTAACAGGAGGGAACCAGTACCTGCAGGACACGTTTGGTAACGTGGACGGTCAGGGGAAAAAAGGACATACCTACAACAAAATGAACAGACAGTGGCAGCAGCAATGGTCTCAAACACAACAATTTGAGGTTGGCGCAGGCAACGTTTCATCCTGTTTTGCGAGGGTCGCTATGAATGGGAACTAACTTGACAGTCCTTAACAACAACAGTTATATGCTGTATATTTGTCTAATGCTTGTAACCAAAGTATGTATCTTGAAGAGAGACATATGGGAGGGCTTCAAAATATCTGGCAAAAAGAAACTGAAAGATAATGTAATTTTTTCAGAAAATTTTTGAAGCCCCCTTAAGTGATCCCTTTCACAAGTTCAAGGTAATTAAAAAAAAAACAAAAATCGCTAATGACTATTCTGTTTGAAGAAACTCTTCTTTAATTTCTCTGGTTTGTTCTGAGTCGTATTGTTTACATTCTGCCTAAATTTGTTCCTCCAGTGTGGCCACAACTGTTACAGGAACCCCAGTGATGTCAACTAACCCAAAAGATGAGATTTATTAGCTAAGCAAGGTAAAGCAACACATATTATCAAAACAAGCCATGTGGCCTCTTGGAGAAGAATCCTTGCAGAAGTATGGCTACTCTACAGTGAATGACTGGCATGTCCTAGCCAGGGCTTGATCCATAGAACTTCACCTTAGAGACGTGCACACAGAACTCACAGGAATGAATGAGTTAACAAGGAAGGAAGTGAAACGATGATTTTTTAACCCTTGTAGGAATGTTCCAGGGAGCATGTAAGAAAGAAGCTATCAATGAAGTTAGTGCTTGTACCACCTGTCTTCAGGAATTATATGATCAACTTATGATAATAATAAAACTATTTGTGTTCACACTAGACTTTGTGTACAACACTTCCCTCTGCCTCATGTCTAGTGTAGCACTTTGTACTTTTACACGGTGCTGCCCCAACTTGAGTTTATTGTTGTTATTAAATGCCGTCAAATTGACTCATAATGACCCTATATAGGATTTGAGGCATAGCTGGGGAGTCTGAACTGCTGATCTTGGGGTTAGCAGTCCAGTGCCTATCTTACACTGCCACATCAGGACTCCTGAGTTATAATACCACTCAGTAAAACTCATCTTTTCTGCTCCTAGTAGAGGGAAAATTTTGTTCTTTGATATTAATTTCTTAAAAACAATTTTATAGATATTTCCAAAGGGTAAATATTTTAATTGAATTTCCTATTTTTGTGTGATGTTTCCTATTGTTCAGTGCTGCCGAACAGCTAGTGGGTTTCAACTGTCAAACTTGTGGTTAGTAGTTCAGTGCTTACCATACAGTTCCCTAAGAATAATCAAAAGCAAACAACTCCAATATAAATGAGAAGTATGTATACCTGGAACCCAGGTCAGTGGGGCACACACAGCATTGCTTGCACTGATCCTGTGCGCATACTTAATGATCTCTTCAGAGGAGATAGCACCTAAGAAAGTGAAAGAACAGTTTCATTTAGTAAACATTCAATTTTATAAGTGCTTACAATCAAAACACATATTCAACTTGAAATTATCTCAAAATAAAATAATCTAAGTCACCTACATGGATACTGTAAACTTTAATCATATATATTTCCAAACTAGCAAGAACAAGTGAACACAGTACAACAGAGTGCTTGACCTCTAATGACATCTGTGCTCACACACCACTCAAACCCACAAACCAAACCAACTGCCACTGGGTCACCCTCAACTCAGAGAGACCGGTAAAGGTTTCTGAGGTTGCAAATCTTTACGGAAACAGAAAGCCTTATCTTCCTTCTACAGAAAGTCTGGTGGGTTTGAACTGCTAACTCGTCTTTATCCTACAGCACCACTTGTTGCTGTTGTTACGTGCCATCCAGTCGGTTCTGACTCACAGCAACCCTGCATAGGTTTTCAAAGAAGCAGTTGGTGAGTTCGAACCGCTGACCTTGCAGTCTAGTGCCTAATCTACAGTGTAACAACTAGGACTCCACAGTTCCACTAGGGCTTCCTATATGGGCTTAAGATGGCTCTTCTGTAGACCTAAGTTGAAAGATGTACACAACATATTAGGTGAAAAATAGTACACAGTAAACAGAGTATGAGTTTTGTTTAGAAATGTTAAAATATATTTGTATTACTGTTATATATTTATAGAGCTAGACTAAATCTGGAAGGATACCAAATATTAATAGAAGTTTACCTCTAAGAAGTGAAAACACTTTACAACTTTAGAGGTAGCTTCCATGTAACAAGGTGGTATATGAGTGTTATGTGGATATGAGTATAAAGTTTTTTAAATAACTGAGCCAGGGTCTAGATTTCAGATAGCTTGCTGGCTTAATCAGCATTCCTAGAGATTTCTTTCCTGCCACGGAGCCCAGCTCATCTCCCAGGGGATAGTGGTTGTTTTCATTATGTAATGTCAAAAGCAGGCAGCCAAAGAAACAGAAAGAGGAACACGAGATAATTTTGAAGTCTGAGATGGCTAATTGTTAATCATATCTATGAACAATTAAGAGCAAGTAACCAAAGTTTTCACTGTAACCCTGAATTTAGTATGAAAATGGAAAAGATTCAAAAAGGTTTAGAATAAGGAACCTTTTAAAAAGAGAAGCAGAACAGCAGAACAGGAAGCTGTGCTAGGTCTCCGCACCCCTAACTGTGCACACACTCCATATCCATATATACTAGTTCAGATGTGAGGATGTTCCTAGTACCACTAGCACCATAGGTCAGTGGATGCTCCCTTTCATTCTATCTTATCTTCAGACATCCAACTCAAATCTCATTTGGAGTCCTAGTGTGGCACTGTAGGATAAGTACTCCATCAAAAGGCCGGCCGCTGTACCTTGCAGTTGAAATCAACCTTGCCGTACAGGGCAATAACCACAGCACCACACAAGGACTCCTATAACATAGTACATATTTAAAATGGAAGACTTATTATTACCAATAATTATCAGTAAATGATTACCAACAGCATCTGGTCAGTTTCTTGAAACAAACCTGGATTTTTTAGGTCATCCAGTATTCCAATGGTACTGACCTTTTCTTGCCTTTTCTATCGATTTGAGCTTTTCCTTTGCTTGATAAACAGCTGTTGCCTGATTAAAACATTTAAAAAGCAAAAAATAAATGGGGCTTAATCTTAACAATGTGATGCATAGTTTGTTGTTTTTTATTTAAGCTTTTATTGCGAATTATGTGATCGTTTACATGGGAGAACATTAGCTTTACATTCATCTTATTTCCTTTCATCGCAATGATTACAATCTCTTGCATAAGCATAGCTGTTTTTCTAATTCATAAGATTATCCCAAAGGAACATTACAAATGAGCTGAATCCCCAAAATTTATTTGAAATGCTCTGAAACACCAATGGCTAACATTTGCATCATAGTTGCAATAAAAGAAATATATGCATTTACAAATTAGTTTTTGAAACAATGAAAAGTATGAGGTGATGTATTTGCTAATTTTTCCCTTTGTTATCGATCATAATACACAGAAGAGTGCCAGACTAGATACCATTCCAAAATGATCTTATTTCTGCATCTGGTTCAAAAATTTGAGTCAATGGGCAGAATTAAATACCTGAAAGTGTTCCCTGTTCCTCCCTAATTTAAAAGATGCATTCTTGGACTGAAATACATTTAAACATTATCCTCCATATAATGACTGCTATTTGGAAAATATTCCTCGTTTCCCAATGACACTGGAAAAGGTAAAAAAAACCCTAAGTTAGCCTAAACCAACTGCCATGGAGAGAATTCTGACTCATGGCAACCCGATGTAGGGTTACTGAAACTGTACATCTTTACAGGAACACACCCTCACCTTCCCGGGGGGGTTAGTAGTCTGACTTGCCTGCTGGATTTGAGGTTTGTAGCCCAACTCTTATTCCACAGCACCATCAGGGCTCCTTCAACACTAACATAGAACGTAAGCATCCTCAACCACCACACAGTGGCTAAGACTGTGGAGCCAGAGAGATGTACGTTTAAATTCTCACCCTCCATTTTTAAGTCACCTTGGGCAAGTTATTCATTTAAAGTCTTGGGTTTATCATCTGTAAAATGGGTAACAGCACTGACATAAACCCACACAGGGTCACATGGGTAGGAACTGACTTGACAGCACTTTACAACAACAACAGACGTAAACGGCTATGAGAATGAAGACAATGGATTTAAAGCACAAAGCACAGGCTCTGATGCTTGAGTATTCAATAAAGGTTGGTTACCATTATCTAATCAGTTTTATTATGGGCTTTACATCTTACCTACATTTTCAGAAATCGAATCTACAGGACTAATCCTAAATGGAGAAAGCAAAAAGCTTCATCTGCCTAAATGTTTACCAAAGCATTATTTAATGATTTGGAAAACTAAACGAGGATACAGTAATTTAGAAAATGCTTCAGTTTTAATGACTATTAAGTTAGTAAGTATGCTGCTAATTACAACACAGAAAAAGTGAAAACACCAGACACCAAAAGAAAATACAGCAAACTGCTGATAGTGGCAATCTTTGAGCAATAAGCAATAGGACTAAAGACATTCATTTTAGTTTTACAATTTTTGCATTTTTTTTCCTGAATTTATTCTGATAAGCCAACAGTTTCACAATGAAAACCAGATTTCATCATACAATAAGCATACAAGACAGCCTCAAAAAGTTTGTGGAAAAACAGAATTAAGAGATAATGGCCTATCCAGAGAAGCAGCGACACGGAGATGGTGACAGAGATGAAGACATGGAGAGAGGGAGGAACTGAGGACTCTAGACTCATGAAAAGAGAGGGACTGAGTGCTGGCAGCCAGGAGGCAGGCTTGCAGAATGTGCTCTTCTGTTGTTTAAATTATTATATATTCCTGAGTGTTTTGGTGTATATCTCTCCACCCCCAAAAACAAACAAACAAAACTCCAGAGGGAATGGAAGCAAAAACTGTTGAGTGATACTGCACGGAGGGGATTTTAATCATGGCAATGAACCAAGTATGAAACCAATGTTCTCCCAAGAAAACTAGCACTCAATTCACAATAAAAACTTAAAACAAACAAACAAAAAGAGGTAATAGAATTTGTCCACAAACATTTTGACAGTCCTTGTAAACTTGGGGTTGTTTCTTTAGCACAGGTAGTTAGTTTACCCTGAGATGCTTATTACTCTTGATGCCAATCTTAACACATTCTTAAAGAAGTTCACCAAGGATAAATAAGCATGCTAGCAATGCCCAGCCAATGGGAATAAAACACTATTGTTCTGCAATACCACAATATAAGAATAACCATAGTCAGTATTTAGTAAAGCAGCTTGGCAAATAATGACCAATCAACTGACTATCTGAAATACCAGTCAAAAACACAAAAATACAGTCCTTAACATCTAATGAACTCTCATCTTGTTTAACATGGAAGAATAAATCATGTAAACCTCAATTTTTTATTACATATTTTTTCCAATTTAAAAATACTTTAAAAATTGAACAAGATTTAGACTATTAATATAAGAAACGTATGAAACCAGGATAAACAATAAATCTATTTCTATAATTCATACTGTAAATAATAAAAAACTGTTTCTAAAAGTAATGCATATATTAGACTATGCGAAAATAAGTTAAAAAAAGGAACAGACGATTCCTTTTCACTAAGCTGACAGGCTGCCATTTTTAGAGCTGGGAAACTCAAGCTTTCTATAGCTTCAAAATACTGACGAGATTATTTTTAAGAAATTGATCCAACAATATGCTTGCTCAGCTTAAGAATTTACCAGCCTCTGAAAACTTACCAAGGAGCTCTGGTAGTGTAGTGGTTACAAATCGGGATGTGAACCTCAAGGTCGGCAGTTCGAAACTACCAGCTGTTCCGTGGGAGAAAGATGAGGCTTTCTGCTCCGGTAAAGATTTACAGCCTCAGAAACCCTGTACAGGGTCGCCATGAGTCGGAACCAACTCCACGGCACATAACAACAACAACAATAACCAACTTACCAGTATTTGTTCTGCTTCTTTGAGCTGTTTTTGTAGTTGTTGAATATCACTGTCTCTCTTTTCTACTTCTTTTTCTAAAACTTGCATTTCATGATGTATTTTTCCCTGGTTAAGTGCCAATTTCATTAGTTCTTGAAACTCCCCGTCTCTGTGAATTAACAACTCCAGGATCTGTCAGGTAATGAAGTAAACAACACAATATTGAAAAGCTATATTCCACTGACAGAAAGATATGAATTAGCTAGTCTATAAAATTTTATCATTCTTCACAGTGAGAGGGGGCTTAAAAAAGTTTGTGGAAAAATAGAATTAAAAGATAATTTTTTAATTTTTGGAATTTCCCCACCAACTTTTGAATTCTGATTGTATACTGAATTGCCCCTAAAACAAACAAACACATTGCTATCGAGTTGATTTAGACCATACTGACCCTATGTAGAACTGTCCCATAGTTTGCAAGGCTGTAATATTTTCCATATCTTTCTCCCTAGAAGTGTGGATGGTGGATTCAAGCCTCCAATCTTTAGGTTGGCATCCCAGCACTTTACCCACAGTGCCACCAGGACACCTCTAAAAGTAGCCTATCTATGGTTATTTTGGATTCCTGGTGTGGTGTATAGGATCAGCACTGGACTGTAAACCACAGGCCGGCAATTCAAACCCACCAGGGGCTCCTCAGAAACCCTATATAGGGTTGCTATGAGTCAGAACTGATTCAACAGCAGTTTACAACAATGGTTATTTTTGAAAACAGAACTTTTTCTAATCATGCACTATTCTTTCTAGCAAAACAAACTAGTCTAACTTAAGTCATACTCTAAAATGTTCAATTGTATTCATTTCCCACGTGTGATAGTTAAGCTTTTATGAAAACTTGACTGGGCTGGGATTCTCATGGTTTGGCAGTTGAGATGTAGTTACCCCCCATGATAAAATCTAATGTAATCATCTCTATGATAAGATCTGTTATGAGTTTCCTTAGAGGTATAGCCAGCTTCCAATATGTTGGACACTTGGGCAATGCTTGCTACTTTCTACTGTTTCTGGATCCTGCATCTGGCTCATCATCCATCCTTCGCTTCTTTGGACTTCCAGTGGTCTGCTCTACTGCTTATTCATTGTGGAGTCCTCAGCAGACTACCTTCTTACCTGCCTGCCAATCGTCTGACTTGCCCATGTGGGTTCACCAGCCCTGCAGCTACATGAGCCAGAAGCTTCCAGCCTGACAACTGACCCACAGAGTTGACATTTGCCCATCTTGACAACGGTGTGAGCCATGTCCTTGATAGAAACTGCTCTTTATATATACATATATGAGCTTCATTGTTGCTGCTTATCTAGGGAACCCCAAGACAGCATGGAAAATAAAATTCATCCTTAAAAGTATACTGTAATGGAGTTTACCAGAGTTTGCTACTTGATACAATTTGTTTTATGGTACGATGAACTTAAAAATTTTTTTTTCAGAGTTACACATTCACTCTAAAATGCATTTTTAAAAAGCTAAGATAAACACTAGACCACAAAGTCAGACTGAACAGCAAGGTTGGTGGTTCAAACTAGTGGCTCCTTGGAAACCCTACTCAGGAACTCTATGAGTCGGAACTGATTCAAAGGCACTTAAAAACAAAACAACAACATAAAACGCGTGATTTCACACAGTAGAACGAAGGTGGCTTAAAAACAGAATTTCAAAAAACAGCAAATTGTGAGGAACAAACAAGATGGTGGATTGGGTAGAAATGCAGTGAGGAGCTCCGTCAGCAACACACACAATACCAGACCAAGCAGGCTCAGGGGATGGTGCCAGAACTCTGAACCACATATAAAGAAATATTTAGAAGATTGGAAGGCTTACAGCCAGGGGAACTGGTAGCAGAAGCAAGAAATCCATTGCTTTCTAATCCAAGACGGTCAGCTGCTCCTGAAGCCACCATCTTGGGAGAGACCAAGCCAGAAAAGGATCAGAACAGCCATGAATGCCTGACACAACCAAGGAGATAAAGGTGTGGACATTCTTTTTTTTTTAAAATCTGTTCATTGGTCTCTCGCCATCTAGACACCTCCATTCTGGTGACTAGAGGGGATGCCTGAGTGAGCTGACACTCTATCCCCACCCCCAGAGGGTTCCACTACCCATGTGCACAAAGCTCCTCGAAATTTAAAGTGACAGTTTCCACTTAAAACCAAACGGTAGTGCAAACCAGCCACAGACAGCCCTGAATTGTTTATCATTAGGAAAATGGCCTGAATGGGAATTGTGGAGCGGGACAGACAGACTAAAAAAGGAAACAGGATGAAAATTAAATCCTGAGTTACGTGACAAAGACCAACAAGAACATCTTGAAATTTTTCAGGAAGTAGAGTGAAAAGGGAAGCCCATTTCCTGATCACATCTACCTGGAGGAAATCAGAAAGCATAAAAAATACCAAAATACATACCCATCTGGGCTACAGATAACTCCTAAATATGCCCAAAACCCAGAAACCGATGACCATATCAGCACAAGTCGAGAAATGAGATAAAGTGACTGAGGCAAATAAGCTGGAAGTAGGCCTACACTCCATACTGGAAGATGGGCAGGCTTTGGACACGTCTGAGAAGGAATTCAGAAAAATGATTATAAAATTTATCAAAACACTTACACAATGGAGTTGAGAAAAACAAGGGAAGAAGTCAGGAAAGTGCTACAGGAACAATCAAATAAGACAGATACAGCATTGGAAACAATTCAAAACCTACAGAGGGAGGTCCAAATGATTAATAACAAAATATCAGAAATGGACAATACATTGAAAGGGCAAACAAGTAGAAGAAGAGATAGAAGCCAGAACTAGTGAGCTAGAAGATAAATCTCACAACTCTACTAAGACAGAAAATAAGCACAAAAAAGGATTTAAAAAAATCTGAAGAAGCCCTAAGATTCACGTTGGACAACATGAAGAGGAATAACTTAAGAATTATTGACATTCCGGAACAGGAAAAATCACACAAGTCCACAGAAGAGATAGTTGAAGAGCGACTGGAAGAAAATTTCCCTAACATCCTGAAAAGCGAAAGATAAGCATTCAAGAATCTCAACAAAATCCAGAAAGAACAGACCCTAAAAAACAATCACCAAGACATCATAATCAAGCTCTCCAAAACCAAAGATAAGGACAGAAACCTAACAACAGCTTGGAAAAAGACAAGTGTAACATACAAAGGTAAGCAAATCAGATTAAGCTCGGATCTCTCAACAGAAACCATGCAGACAAGAAGGCAATGGGGAGACATATATAAAACCCTGAAAGAAAACAACTACCATCCAAGAATCCTCTACCCAGCAAAGCTGTCAATCAAATACAATGGTGTAATCAAAACATTCCAGGATAGGCAGAAGCTAAGGGATTTTGCCAAAGTCAACCCTGCTATGAAAAACATCCTAAAGGAAGTTCTGTGGG